TTCATGATAAAGGGATATTAGGGATACAAGGAACATATGTAAATATAACAAAAAGTATACAGAAGGCCTTTAGTCAACATCAAATTAAATGGAGAGAAACTCAAAGCATTTCCATTAAAATCAGGAAAACCACAAGGTTGTCCAATTTCTCTGTATGTATGCAATTTGGTTTCAAATCTACAGAGAAACTCTGTCTTAAAAAAAAGAGGTTAGAGAGGTTGATTGATAAAAAAGACAGAAATATACAACGGAAAAAAAAGCATCTTTAACAAATGGTCTAACTGGATGTCTACATGCAGAAGAATGATAATGGATGGGTAACTATCAAGCTTAAAATTGAAAGTCTAAGTGGATCAAAGACATCAACATCAAACCAGAAATATCAACAGATGAGGGCAGATGCAGCGATCCACACCAAAACATTAGGCAGTGCTCTAGGAAGCCCAAATAACAAGAGAAAGGAAGGATTGTAGGAACCAAAGAGGTAAAGGCATCACCAGCGCTTGAGTCAGTCATTCAAGTAGGATGGGCTCCTGGCCTGCAGTTACAGAGACTGAAGAGTCCATCAGGGAACTTGTATAGATACTGTGCATATGTGTTATGTATGTGTAGCTTAGTGTTTGTTCTTGGACTCCTAGAATAGGGAGTTCGTGCTATCTGTGATTTTTATACCTACATTTGGGACCCTGTTCCTTCTACTGGGTTTCCTTGTCCAGTGTTCATACAAGCATATGTGCTAGGCTTAGTGACACTTTTTTGTTGTTTTTTCTTTTCAAGACAGGTTTTCTCTGTGTATCTTTGGGACTTTCCTGGAACTCACCCTGTAGCCCAGGCTGGCCTCAAATTTACAGAGATATGCCTGCCACTGTCTCCCAAATACTGGGATTAAAGGCGTGCACCACCACCACCTGGATTAGTCTTACTTTTAGTGCTTTTCTCTGTTGATGTCCTTGGGAGCTTTGCTCTTTTCTGAAGGGAAATGAAGGAGGGGTAGATCTGGAGAAGGTGTGTGTGTGTGTGTGTGTGTGTGTGTGTGTGTGTGTGCACGCGGGCTGGAGAAGTGGAAGTAGGAGAAACTGTGGTAGGTTATAAAATATGAGAGAAGAATAAAAAGAAGAATAAAAAATCGCTGTCAATTATTAAGAGAATAAAACACATATAAAGCTTTAGAGCTATCAGCTACTGACAAAAGAGAAAATATGCCATTTGTTTTTCTGGGTCTGGCTTACCTTGGTCAGTATAACATTTTTTAATTTATCTTTGTCAATGCTA